ATACAAGAAAACTTCAGACCATGCGTAGGAACAGCATCTAGTGGTAGCACACCAAAGGTCTCAGTCATCCACTCATGTTCCTCATCCACAAATTATTTTACCCAATAAATAAATATTTTGGTGGAAAAACAGCTGAGTCACATAACTGGTGCTACAACACCTGACAGGAATCTGATATTGTGGAATGGTTGTCGTATTTTTGTAATCACAATTTTTCTTCTTCATATTTTTATTATGCTTTTAATATTTTTAATTATATTATATTATATTATAATATCATATTATAGTTTTGTCCTTGTGAAACGCCTTGTGATTTTTGCTTTAGACGCATTAGATAAAAGATCGTTTCTATATTATTATAAAGGATTTGTCAGAGCGTGCTCTCTGGAGTAAATGCGTTTCCGTAAGCTCACTGATAGGAGATCCATCTGGAGCTGTGCTGTGGTTTGGGAATCTACAAACCGCACAAATCCAATTCCAGTTCATATTCTATTTTACAACTACGAGAACCCCCAGAACCTCCTCTGCTCCCTGATCTCACACGCGTTGTCAAGGTAGCCAGACTGAATGACCGCTAAGAGGCTGCACTCATTTCTAAATAAAACAAACATCATCCGGAACAACTCCTTAAATATAAATGACAACCAGGTTATCAGATGAAAGTTTTTATTTATTCCTGACAGGAACCTCTCATTTTGTCCCGACCACGTTTATAACCTCTGCAACTTGTTTGATTCGTTTGCACCCTGGCAGAAAGGGTCTCGATCTCGCAACAAAGTTTTCTTTTCTTTTTTTGGGTAGAATGCAGGGAATTCCCTTATATGCTAAGGAAGTAGCGTGACCAAATATGGTTAATTGAGGGTGTTTCTGTATGTTAATGACTGAGAAGGGACACAAGCACCTGCTTACGCACAGGTGGGATTTATCATCAGACGAATGCGGAGGAACGTGCGTACGTACAGTATGAGAGGCCACCGCATGTTTCATAAATCAGGATTTTGACTGTTCGTACGAACATTTAAAATTTTGTTTATAGTAACACATTTAGGGATATTTCTACAAGCGTTTGATGAATGACGCCCCAGAAATCAAATAACACTTCCTGTCAGAATAATAAATAAATGAATATCCATCCACCCATTGTCTTCCACTTATCTGGGGTTGGGTCGCAAAGGGAGTAGCCTAAGCAGAGACGCCCAGACTTACCTCTTCCCAGCCACTTGGGCCAACTCTGGGGAAATAGTCCCTCATTGTGTTCTGGATCTCCCTTCTGACCTCCTTCCATTTGGACATGCCTGGAAAAGCTCACCAGGGAGGCGTACAAGAGGCATGCTAACCTCAACTTGTTCCTCTCGATGAGGAGCAGCGGATCTACTCCAGGCCCCTCCCAGATGACCGAACTTCTCGCCCTATCTCTAAGGGAGAGCCCAGACACCCTACGGAGAAAACTCATTTTGGCTGCTTGTGTCCATAATTACAAATATGATACAATTAATTCCAATAATTCTTGCCCAAAATATTAATATTTTGTTTATTTTTTATTAGGGGGGTTATAGTAGCCTACAGTGAAAACGTTGGAGACATGATGAATCTACACCAGAACTGCTTATCCAGATGGATGTAAAGCTCTTCAGCCCTGCAGTCTCTGTATTTTCTATTTCCAACAAGCAGGGGGCAGTTCCCAGAGCTGAAGCTCAGTCTGGAGCCTTTCGGGCCACATGAAGTGTTTTCCAACCTAGATCTGCATATTATATTATCGGTAAATGTCCCGTGATTGGAAGGAGATGAGTCCGTTTCTGTTTTTGTCTCAGTATCATCACAGTGATTAATCCTCACATCATGGTCTGTTATCAGCCAGCGGACCGCACGCTGTTGTGGACAGGCGAGTCTCCTTCCTTGGACTCTGTCCCGACGTGCGCGACATTTGCAGTGAGAGCCGCGTGTGCGCGCTTTGCGATGGCGCTATAAAAGCAGCGTCAGGTAGCCCAGGTGACACTCCAGCTGCGGACACACGCTTCTGCAGGTGAGTATTCTTGCTTTAACTTTCAAACGCCATGCTCACGTATTTATTTATTTTGTTTGTTTTGTTTTAACGAGTTTTATAGCAATAACTTCGGGATGAGCATTTAATTGGGACTTTTTAACAAATAGTTTTACGTTTTTATCAGCATGGCCTCTGCCTCCTAAGAAGAAAACATTGATCATTTACACTTTGGTATTCTGTACACTTAGGTGTGTGAACCTAGGGACAGGTGTGTGTTGATCTATAACACAGCAACCTATTATTGATGAGTTTTATTAAGTCATTTTGCACTTTTGTTCGATCTGAGTTAAAAATAGTTGTTAATGCTTGAACATTTTATTCTTTGTTACTCAGGCATGGCTCCAAGACCACAAGAAGGGACTGGTTCCTCCTCTACTATAGGTATGTTCTTTTAAAACAATTTTAAAGTTCATGCAACTGTTGTTGCAGCATTATTGTTTCATGTAACTTTGTCCTTTCTGTCCGACCTTAGATAGCAAGGCTTTGGGTAAGGAAGAATGTGTCCCATCAGCTTACTCCACCTTGGACTTGGTGAATGAGGAGCCTCCTGAGGAAGATCCCTGGGATCTCCCTGAACTCAAAGACACAGGGATCAAGTGGTCAGGTGAGGCAGCGATGCCTTCTTCCTATCCTGCATGCTGCATGTGCTTTTAGCCCAACTGTGACTCAGTCATTTCTGTCCTCATACAGAGCTGGACACCAAAGGAAAGATAATAAGAGTGCTGACTGGTCTTGTGAAGCTGGTTCTGCTGCTGGGATTACTCTACTTGTTTATTTGCTCGCTGGATATTCTCAGCTCTGCTTTCCAGCTAGTCGGAGGTAACTAGTTCTGTTTATTACTGTGGGTCTTCATGACCCGGCATCACTGCATGTTCACTTCACTTTAGTGCTTTTGTGGTATATATAGAGTGATGTGAGCCTCTGTAAATGCAGGAAAAGCTGCTGGTGATATCTTCCAGGACAACGCTGTGTTATCCAACCCAGTGGCTGGGCTGGTAATTGGGGTGTTAGTCACTGTGATGGTGCAGAGCTCCAGCACCTCCTCTTCTATTGTGGTCAGCATGGTTTCCTCTGGATGTAAGTAGATACAAGATTCAACCAACTTGTTCATTCAGACTCTTGCTGCATGAGCAACCAGCAGTACAAGTCTGCACTTTAGGGCAGCTGGAATTACAAATGTCATCAGAGGCTGTGCTTTTAAAGCTGTTTTCCTCTTCAGTGCTGGATGTAAAGTCTGCAGTGCCAATCATCATGGGGGCCAACATTGGGACCTCTGTCACCAACACTATTGTGGCCATGATGCAGGCAGGAGATCGAAACGAATTCCGCAGGTAGACCAAAGCAGGTGCTGCTAAAAACACGCAGGAGAAAACAAATCCAACATATTTACACATGCTTTCTGGTGCTTGCAGGGCTTTTGCTGGTGCTACAGTCCACGATTTCTTCAACTGGCTGTCCGTTCTTATCCTTCTTCCCTTGGAAGCAGCAACAGGTGTTCTATACAAACTTACCCTCCTCCTGATCGAGTCCTTTAATATCCAGACTGGAGAAAACGCCCCTGACCTGCTGAACGTCATCACAGACCCACTCACTGAATCTATCATCCAGGTAGTGTTTGGACAAAATAACAGAATTAAGATGTAAAGCGATGCAATCTACTGAATACAGTTTCTTCTCCTAGCTGGACAAGTCTGTCATCAATGACCTTGCAACTGGTGATCCTAATGCAAGAAACAAGAGTCTGATCAAAAAGTGGTGCAAAACAAAGACAAACACGGTAGACAATCGAAAAAAGCTGCTTTGAGGCTTTTATGTTATTTATTCATTTAGAAAAGGTGAAAATATAATTAAAACTCATGTTCTCTCAGACATTCTGGAATGGCACCGTAGAGAACTGCCCCACTGGCGCTGTTTGTTGGGAGGATGGAAACCTGACATGGACTGAGATGAACACCACTTTCACTGAATACCAGCAGAAATGTAAGCATACCATGTCTGCTTTTTTTTAGGGTTAAGGGAGGTGGGGAGATTTAAAAAGCAAGGATTACCTGGTCTACTAAATTTCAGTGAAATATGATCGAGCCATTGGACCACAGCGGCCTCTTCTGATGTCAGGACAATGCTATCCTTTGAGATGCTGTAGCGGTTCTGTTGATACCCTCCTTATACCCATCTACCTGCTCAAAAGGCCTTTTCTTGTTGCCTTGTTGGAGAACTTGAAACCTCTTGACCTCAAATGCATATTTCTTCACAGTAATCTGGCTTCAGTGTTTTGTGCAGAGAAATACTCTTCTAATTTAATTTGATCCCCAGAGTGATCCAAACTAAAAATACTATCCTCAATTTGTGGCACAGCTGAAGTGAACTGACATTCCCTCCCTAAAACAAGCTCTATTCTGTAGTTACTCTAAGGGAAGTTGTGCACATTCATTTTAATTTTCACACCTCGAGCTTTAATCTGTGAGCTGATACTTCATGTCTTAAACTGTCCTTTGCAGGCAAACACCTTTTTGTCAATGTTAACTTGCCTGATCTGGCCGTCGGCCTCATTCTCCTGGCTCTGTCTTTGCTCGTCCTCTGCACCTGCCTCATCCTCATTGTCAAGCTGCTCAACTCCATGCTGAAGGGACAGGTGGCTGTGGTCATCAAAAAAGTGCTCAACACAGGTACACAGCTAAAAAAAACACAGATAGCCTTGTCCATATGCTCTGTGAAGCCTGTTTGATGGTCAGCACATCTGTTTCCATGTGGTGATGCTTGATGAGCAATGCAGGCACAGTCTTCCTGTTGCTTCTGGCTCGCCTCCAGGTCCAGCTGTTCTGGAGTGGTTTGCAGAAAGCTCAGGCACAAATGCTGGTTTTCCAGAGTCAGTTTTTTTTAATGGTCTGTTGCCAAAAGGTGAAAGGAGGGCAACTTTGGAAAACATAAAGCTTATTCATAACACATTATCTGGACAAGAATCTATTGCTACGGTATTGTTGTTTGCAGTTTTGTCTGCAACTTTTGGGGTCTACCTTGTTAATTTCTCAACCAAACATCAGATGAATCCCTGGACAGATTTTAATGAAATTCTCAAAAGAATATCATAGACCAAAGCTGTAGGAGTTACAAGCCATTGATAATGACATCAAGATATTTAAAACCAGTTGTAACTCTGTTATTTTACAGAGTCATCCCCAAACACACCTCAGTTGTTAAATAATGGGAAATTTAAAATCTTTCAACATAAGATATTTTTTTAACCTCAACCTCAACTCATGAATGATGGTAATATACAATCTGTCAAAATAAACTTAAAATGTTTTGTTTTCCGTCACATGCTAATACTGTTGTTTCACCTCAAGTAAGTATGTATATTTTTTATTTTAGACTTCCCTTTTCCCTTTGCTTGGGTTACCGGCTATATTGCAATTTTGGTGGGGGCAGGGATGACTTTTATTGTGCAAAGTAGCTCCGTCTTCACCTCAGCAATTACACCTCTGGTTGGTAAGTCGTATTTTGAATGCAAAATCCTCTTTACTCATTTTAATTTAAATATACACCCACAATTACAGCCCATCCACCTTATTTCACCAGGTATTGGTGTAATCAGTCTTGAGAGAGCTTATCCTCTGACTCTGGGCTCAAATATTGGTACAACAACCACCGCTATACTTGCTGCTATGGCTAGCCCTGGAGATAAACTAGCCAACTCCCTGCAGGTACGTTACAGTTGATACACTTAGACACTTCATTACAGTTTAACAAAATACAAGGTTTGGTTGTACGTCAGAGCTAAACAAAAAAAATCAACATTACATTGTGTTTAATGTATGTTTTTTGTTATTTTTATTTTAGATTGCACTCTGCCACTTTTTCTTCAACATCATGGGAATCCTACTTTGGTATCCAATCCCTATCACGCGGGTGCCCATCAGGCTAGCCAGAGGTCTAGGGAACAAAACAGCTAAATACCGCTGGTTTGCTGCCCTCTACCTCTTCTTATGTTTCCTCGTTCTCCCTCTCACTGTTTTCGGCCTCTCATTGGCTGGTTGGCAAGTCTTGGTTGGTGTCGGCGTGCCTATAATTGCATTAATTGTCACAGTGGTCATCATCAATGTCATGCAGTCTCGTTTCCCACGCCACCTTCCCAAGGTCCTCCGCACCTGGGACTTTTTGCCCCGACCCCTTCACTCCATGGCTCCCTGGGACAGGGTGGTGACTTCCACCACGCTGTTCTGTGGCAGACACTGCTGCTGCTGTTGCAGATGCAGCAACTGCTGCAGAAAAGACGATGGCGAGGAAAAGATCTCGAGGACAAACAGGAAGGGTCTAGAGGTGTACGATAACCCGGCTTTGACTAGAGACAAAGATACAAACGAAAGCATTAAAGCAACTCATCTTTAATGTCATCCAGTTTGATTTTTCTGCAGGTGCAATACAAAATGTGACAATGTGCAGGCAACACACTTGTAAATGTTCATCACTTCTCAGGTTGTGGTATGATGGTGATTATCTGCTCACACTTAGCATACACTGTCTATAGCAATCCTTGAAACAATGAACATGACTGTCACACATATGAGGTTTGTTTCATGCTGCTTTTGTTTTACTGTACAGACTCACTTTGGGCTTTGACTTCATTCAATTCAATTCAAGTTTATTTATATAGCGCCAAATCACGACAAGAGTCGTCTCAAGGCACTTCACATAATAAAACATTCCAATACAGGACAGTTCATTAAGCCAATCAGAAAAAAGTTTCCTATATAAGGAACCCAGGAAATTGCATCAAGTCACTGACATATATGAGTGGTTGTAAATAGGTTCTCTTATTATTTTTATTTGATGTGTGAAAGACGTTTGTGGTTTCATTTTCCTCTTTAAACATCAGCTTTGAATGTGTATTGCAGCACTTCAGTTGTAATATTATTAACTTGTTACTGCTAAGTATTTGACTATGTAATATCTGTAAATTAAAAATAACAATTTTAAAGCTTTTTGCAGTCACTTTTTATTGAGCTGTGTTTCTTTTGTAACACACGGGCTGAAATCTGAGGTCATACATGATTCTCTTGACTCATCATGAAGCACTAAGGAATTGTTCATTTGATCCACTGAAATCAGTTTCCATGGACAAGTTATAAACAATGTCTTACCTGTTATTGATTACTCTCATAACTATTTTGGTTTGAAGAAATGGTTAGTTCTGACTTGATTAATAAGCTAACAGCTAGACATAGTGGGAAAAGTCCCAAATTAGATGATGTTTATGAAAGGAAAAACCTTACAAGGGTTTAAAACTTTTCACTGACTTTATAATAATTTCCTAACACGTTCAAATATTCATGTACAATTTGTCCAAATATTCTCTCAGTAACCACTTTTAACAACGACTTTTTTATTTGCACCTTTGACATGATGCAGATATTTACCCTTGTGGGTAGCCTGTGACATCATCATCTTTATCATACAAGTGTTTTATAAACAACTGTTATAAAGTTGGATTACATTTTTATGCACGTAACATTTTATAGTTTATTGCAGCTAAAATTAGTGGCAGAGCTTTTGTTAACACTGCTGGCTCCATGTGCCAACTTCATTTGAAGCCCTTTAAAAAAACAGCAGAGAGAGCAAATTAAGCAAATATCACAGAAATAAAATCTATTTTGGCTGAAAATACTGATATAAACTAAACATTCAAATTAATATGCTCACTCACTAACAGAAGTGATATGTTGCCTCCTTCGTGTGACCATTAAAAGCAATGCAGCTTCATTTTTCACCAGTCCTACCCACAGATATATAGAGCTATAATCCTGCCAAGGTGTGATGGCCACATGAGTCACAGGTTTAAAGTACTCTGTTGACTAAATGTTCTTTATCTTAACTGTTTTAAAACCACTTCCCTTTAAAACAACATATTTACTACCATTGCTTTTCATACCGTGTCAGAAGGCTTAAATCCACAGGAGAAGGCCCACTCGTTGAACCAGTAATATTTCTGCTAGTATGGTATATCTTTTAGCTGAAATCCACCTTGTAATCAGTCTAGCTGTGACTAGCCATTAGCTCTTTTGTCTTATTACAACTAATCTCAAGTTCTCCAAACTGAGGTTCTTCAAAGAGTTGTCAGCAACAGGTAAAACACTTTTTGTTAATATTCTGACAACTATTCTAACAACTTTTTGTTAACATTCTAGGCCTGAAAATAATAAGACTCCTGACCTCAAAACTCCAATAAAAACATCTGCTCCCCCTTCCTGCTTACTCATCTCACCTGCCCTCAGGGCATCAAGTACAGGACACTTAGATCCAATCAGACTCTAACTGGGTGTGTTATTGTCCTGTTTGTTATTGTTTAATCATTACTAGTAACTGTTAGTTATAGTGTCTGAAAAATGTTGATGAAAGGGGGTCGTACTGTTCCGATCACATGTGAGTTATTTATTAGTAGCTCATTTATTGAGGAACAAAACATGTTTGAAAAAGTCACCAGTTAGCCAGCTTTATTAGCCATGTAGTATTTACAGGTGCTGGCCAGTAAATTAGAATATCATCAAAAGGTTGAAAATATTTCAGTAATTCCATTCAAAACGTGAAACTTGTACATTATATTCATGCAATGCACACAGACCAATGTATTTCCAATGTTTATTACGTTTAATTTTGATATTTATAGGTGACAACCAATGAAAACATCAAATCTGGTATCTCAGACAATTAGAATATTCTAAAGGCCAATGAAAAAATGTTTGTTTCTCTAATGTTGGCCAACTGAAAAGAATGAACATGAAAAGAATGTGCATGTATAGCACTCAATACTTAGTCGGGGCTCCTTTTGCCTCAATAACTGCAGTAATGCGGCGTGGCATGGACTCGATCAGTCTGTGGCACTGCTCAGGTGTTATGAGAGCCCAGGTTGCTCTGATAGTCGTCTTCAGCTCCTCTGCATTGTTGGGTCTAGCGTATTGCATCCTCCGCTTCACAATACCCCATAGATTTTCTATGGGGTTAAGGTCAGGCGAGTTTGCTGGCCAATCAAGGACAGGGATACCATGGTCCTTGAACCAGGTGCTGGTGGTTTTGGCACTGTGTGCAGGTGCCAAGTCCTGTTGAAAGGTGAAGTCTGCATCCCCATAAAGTTGGTCAGCAGCAGGAAGCATGAAGTGCTCTAAAACTTCCTGGTAGACGGCTGCATTGACCCTGGACCTCAGGAAACAGAGTGGGCCAACACCGGCAGATGACATGGCACCCCACACCATCACTGACGGTGGAAACTTTACACTGGACCTCATGCAACGTGGATTCTGTGCTTCTCCGCTCTTCCTCCAGACTCTGGGTCCTTGATTTCCAAAGGAAATGCAGAACTTGCTTTCATCAGAAAACATAACTTTGGACCACTCAGCATCAGTCCAGTCCTTTTTGTCCTTGGCCCAGGCGAGACGCTTCTTGCGCTGTTTCTTGTTCAAGAGTGGCTTGACACACGGAATGCGACACCTGAATCCCATGTCTTTCATGAGTCTCCTCGTGGTGGTTCTTGAAGCGCTGACTCCAGCTGCAGTCCACTCTTTGTGGATCTCCCCCACATTTTTGAATGGGTTTGTCGTCACAATTCTCTGCAGGGTGCGGTTATCCCTAGAGCTTGTACACTTTTTTCTACCACATTTTTTCCGTCCCTTCGCCTGTCTGTTAATGTGCTTGGACACAGAGCTCTGCGAACAGCCAGCTTCTTTAGCAATCACCTTTTGTGTCTTGCCCTCCTTGTGCAAGGTGTCAATGATTGTCTTTTGGACAGCTGTTAAGTCAGAAGTCTTCCCCATGATTGTGGTGCCTTCAAAACAAGACTGAGGGACCTTTTAAAGGCCTTTGCAGGTGTTTTGAGTAAATCAGCTGATTAGAGTGGCAGCAGGTGTCTTCTATATTCAGCCTTTTCAGAATATTCTAATTTTTTGAGATACCAAATTTGGAGTTTTCATTAGTTGTCACTTATGAATATCAAATTTAAATGTAATGAACATTGGAAATACATTGGTCTGTGTGCATCGCATGAATATAATGTACAAGTTTCACGTTTTGAATGGAATTACTGAAATATTTTCAACCTTTTGATGATATTCTAATTTACTGGCCAGCACCTGTATATGGTAATTCCGTAATTTTTGGTTCTTTTTAAAACACATGAAAGGGTTTTCTTTACCTTGCTGACGTACGTTTCGTTTGCCGACTGCAAAACATCCTCAGAGCTGACGCTGATGGTGGCGTCACTTCCTACTCCGTTTATCCGCGGGCAGCAGAGGACGCTGTCGCCCTCTGCTGCCCGCTCTCCCCTCTCCGATGATGCAGTCCCATGCGTGGTCCAATGAGTAAACTCCATCGTCCCTGTTCATGGTCCCACATCCACGTCTCTTTATCTCTATAGCTTCTCTTATCCATCTTTTGTATTTTTGTTGTTCGGTGTTTATGATCCGTGTGTTGTCCCAGTCCATTATATGGTTTTCTCTTGTGCAATGATCTGTTACGGCTGACTTCTTTATTGTGCTTTCTGCTTCTTCTTTTGCTGCTCTTGTGTGTCTTCGACTTGTTTCTCTCATTCCCCCTGTGTTCTATTGTTCGTGTGTTGAGTTGGCGTCCGGTTTCTCCTATGTATGTTTTATTGCAGAGTTTGCATGGGATTTGGTAAACGACTCCACATTTAAGTCCAGCTGGTATCTTGACTTTTGGGTGTACTAGTCTGTTTCTAACTGTTGTGTATGGTTTTGTTGGTGTGTTTATGTTGTGTTTTTTCATTGTTGCTCTTACTTTTTTGGTTATGCCTTTGATGTATGGTGTCATGCTGGGCTGCAGCTTTTTGACCCACGACATGCAGAATCATGCACGGAGACAAAGGTAAGTAAAAAAGGTTTATTATAATGTACGAAGGAGATGATGGTCCGAGATCCGATGGTTCCGGTGGAGTTCTAGAACAGAGACTGGAGTGAGTATATGCAGGTTTGACCGTGAAAGAAATGAGTTTGTAGCTTACAGTTTCCTGGTTGTTGGTAAGGCTTAGAGGGGTAGGCAAGTCACGGCTGGCTGAGCTGGTAGAGCGAGAGTCAGGTGAGGCTGGGAGCTGAGTACCAGAGTTGGGGTTGTCCGAGTTGGCAGGTGGGGATTGGAGAGCAGGCGGTCAGGGGTGAGCGACGGGACTGGCAGACAGGGTTGGAATCCGGTGAGTTTTCTTGCAGCTGATGGAGGCTTGGTTGGTGGAGGAGAAGTTTCCTGAGGAGGTCGGAGGAGAACAGGACAGATAATCTCAGGAAGGCAAGATACACAAAATAACAAGTTTTCAGACATAAGCTAGGTGCTGGCAAAGTTCTACCCAATGCTGAGTATCATCCGGTACTGATGAGTTGTCCCAACGCTCCTTAAATCCCCTGACCACTGATGAACAGATAGGTAGCAGCTGCTCTCCAGCTGCTCTCCAGACACACCCACCTGCACACAGAAGACTCAGCACAACACAGTTAGACTCAGCAAAAACCATGACATATGGTAGGGATGTCACTGGTTCTGGTTCTTTGCTTTGGTTGTTCTTTTATTTCTGTTGTTGTTTGTTGTTTTCGTTTGTTTATTGCCCATGTCAGGTATCCGCAGGTCTTTAAAGCGTGTTGTATGTGTTTGTCCTCTTGTTTACGGTCTCTTTCTTCTGTTATCATGTTTGCTCGGTGATATAATGTTCTGATTACTGACATTTTGTGTATGGTGGGGCGTTCTGATGTCCATAATAAATATTGGTCTGTGTGTGTTGTTTCCTGTATGTGTTTATGTTTAGGGTCCCGTCGGTCTGCCTGGTGATTTTCATGTCCATAAATGCTATGCTGCCTTCTGTTGTGAACTTTATGTTGCCTGTGTCGTCAATGTTATTCAAGTGTTGTGTTAGTGTTTCTGTTTGTCGTTTTGGTATGATTTCCAGTATGTCGTCTACGTAGCGTTTCCATAGTTTTATTTAGCAGTTTG